GGCATTTATCATTTCCTTTGCCTGAATTTGCTCGAAAAAATTCTTGTTATTTTCTTTTTTGGCAACCTTATCATTCTGGAGATGGAAACGATGTGTGGGCAATAGATGATATTGTTATTTCCAATTCTTTGGATAATGTTATAAGTTTGAATTTTAGTGATTCAAAAGCAATAAATGAATCAATTAGATACAATTTTGGAGCTGTGAAACATCATTGCAAATCTGATGGAAAATCTTTAAGGTATTCATTTATTTTACAGTTTGTTTTAATTTTATATTTATAAGCATTCTTTTAGGTTGTTTTATTTTAAAATTTTTTTATGTATAATTTTTAAACTATATTAATACAGTACACTTTAATTTTAACGCATTCCAATGCTTTATGTTCTATTGGTTATATTGATGCCACTTCTAGAAAATTATCAAATAGAATTAATCATAAATTTATTAAAAATATAATACTGGTGATAGCAAGTGGCGATAAAAACCTTAGTCAATTTGCTTCAACATTTAGCATGAAATTGAATCACAAATCACACTTTAGGAAAAACAGCAAGATGTTGAGCTTCCATACAATAGGTGTCCTGTGTCTCACACACCTAGCAATTTTATGATGTCAAATGGCAAGTTTTGGGCAGAAAAGTAGGAAGTGACATTGAGAACCAAAGGAAGTTTTGTGCAATGCCACCCAGCATTTCCAGATTATTTTTTTATTGACTGACAGAAAATTTGTGGAATTTTCTGGGATGACTTTTTTTTTAATTTTGATCTTTTTTCAGTAAACAAAAACAAAAATTTTGACATAACACAACCTGTGAAATACTATTTAAACATTGTGATCAAATATATTATTAGGAATTATTCAAAAATGATTCCTATTGCTAACAAGGAGAGAGTCAGACATTTGGATCTCTAGAAGGAAATTTAGTGAGTACATAGCATTAAACACAAGCAGCTTGTTGTCCAAATAATAGGATCCACTTCTCAAGTGTTTCCAAAAATTGGGCTTCTAAAAATTTAGTTTTTAGCTTAAAAGTCTTTGGAAGTTTCACATCCCAGAACAGCAACAGCTGAGTGAATAAGATACTAGGTACTGGAGCTGGACAATGTAGGTTTGAGTATTCATGATTTTATTATTATTTTTTTTTATGTGTGACAAAATTATTTTATTATTTTACTGTGTCATTAGCATTATTATTACTAATATTATTCCTCATGTTTAAAGCTTATAAAACAAGAGATTTAAAAAACATGATGTCATTTCCTGTTTAACAAAAACAAAGTCTCTGTAGATTTAACTGTTGTGTCATTAAATAAAATTTCTATTTTTTTTCATATTTATTTTCACATATTTTACATATGTCTTGACAAGTAAATAAGCTTAAGATGTTGGTGCACATGAATGAAAAAGACAAATGATATGAAAATAGATAGCTTAGCATTTTATTTTAGTCATAGTATTTTATTTTTTTAATTGTTAATATTATGGACAATTTCCTCATGCACTTATGTTTGTTACACTTCAAATGTCACAATACAGCCATATCTGAAATAAAATATGAAGAAAATTTTATTTAATAACATAAGAGTTAAATCTACAGGGGCATGTTTTCCATAAATAGGAAATGACATCACAATTCTTAATCTCATTTTTTAATGTTTTGTGAGCTTTAAACATGAGGAATAATAACAGTAATAATAATGTGGTAAAATAATAATGTTACACATAAAAAAGAACTAAACTAAAATTTTAAAGGTTCAAACCTACGTTGTCTACCTCCAGTACCTAGTGTCTTATTCATTTGGCTATTGCTGCTCTTGGATATGAAACTTCCAAAGACTTATAAATTAAACACTAAATTTTCAGAACCCCATTTTTCGAAATGTTTGAATAGTGGGTCCTATTATTGGACAAGGAGCTGTTTGTGTTTTAAGGCTGTGTGCTCATCAACTTTTGTTCAAATTGGAGACCCAAATGTTTGACCTTCTCTTTGTAAGTGACAGTTTAATATATCACTTTTGCTTTCCAGATGCCAAACTGATAAGGCTTCCAATACCTTCATTAATTAGTAAGTAAAACTGGTGGCAATAAATAATTTGAAGTGGTGAAAAAAATTAAAAACTAGTGAAATTGTGGCTATATTTTAAAATTTTTCAGATTGATCCCTGAGAATTGTTGCTTGAGGTGCAGTCAGTTTCCTTCTATGACACCAGATTTCTTAAGCTAGTTGCACAGTGAGACACTTGTCTAAATCATTTTTGAGACTATTAAAACATATATTTGTATTCCTTTTTGCTTGGCCAGGTTTCATTTGATTGTGCTACATAGCTAATTATTTCTATTGTATCAAATGCTGCAAATGGGTTTTGTCAATTGTAATTACATCAGAAAATATTTCTTTTGAATGAATTTTGATTGTTTAAAAATGTTTTCATCATTATGAATTAATAAATTTCTGTTAATATTAACATTGAAGTATTTTGTATTAATAATAATCAATCTCACACTTTTCATTTATCTTTCAGCAATACTTTATTAAAAATAAACGTTTTTAGCCTAGTTTGTAAGCCTGCTTCAGGTTCTACACATTTGAAATTGAATTGTTTACTGAGTGATCCAAATTGGAATGTTCAAACCTTTAAATTGATTTTTTTTTTAATTTGAATAATTTAATGCATCAAATTAAATAAAAAACAAAATAAACAAATAAATAGATAAAAATAATTAAATATGCAAATATATAAAATTATATGTGGTATGATCCAAATGTTTGGGGACTGCAGTAATGTATGACAACAAAAGCATGTAGTTGAAGTTACAGCATATGAAATGGATTCTATCAAACCACACCTACGTGTTCAGGTTGATTTCGCTCATGTCACGTGATTAAACTGCGAGCGCTGTTGTTTTTTTTTTTCGGAGATAGTTACCTTTGTTTTGCGACATAATAAAAATGGAGTTTAAGAACAGCGCTGCAACATTAAATTTTGTCAGCATTTAGGTAAAACACCTATGGAGACTTTAAAATTGCTAAGAAAGGTGTATGGTGATTTTACCATGGCGAAATCAAAGGTGTACAAATGGCATCGGCGTTTTAAAGAGGGCCAAGAATCCATCGCAGACAATGAATGCTCTTGCTGACCTTTGACTTCATGGAATAAGAAAACTGTTGAGTTGGTCTCTCAATTATCTAGACATTTTACGTTGTTTGAGGGAATCCATTCGTCATAAACGGCCACAGATCTGGCGAAGTGGAGACTGGTACCTTCTACATGACAATGCATCTGCACATTGGTCCCAAATGGTCACACAGTTTCTCACCAAAACTCAAATTAATGTGCTTCCACACCCTGCCTATTCACCGGACTTAGCCCCATGTGATTTTTATTTGTTTCCATCAACGAAAAAGCATTTGCAGGGACGCCGTTTTGTGTCATCAGATGAGGTGAGAGCAGCATCGCAGGCCTTATGGGAGTTTTCAAAAAATGGCTTCCATCAGTGCTTCCAGAAGTTATATGAGTGCCAGCAAAAGTGTATCATTGCCCAAGGTGATTACTTTGAAGGTGATTGTGCATCGGTAATATAAACTATTTAAAGTAAGGAATTTTAAGCCAAGTCCCCAAATTTTTGGATCATACTACGTATAAACAATATTCAAAATAAAATATAACTCAAAAAACCAAAATAGAAACAATAAATAGAAATAACAATCAACAACAAAAGTTATGCATTAGATGTTATATAATACAGTAATGGCATAACTTTAATTAGATGCTTGTATTGTAATTATGGGTGTGGTCTTATTGTATGGGATGATGATAAACAATTGCCAGGCAAGTGACAAGATCTGGTTTTCTTTATTGTTAATGCAATTTTCTTTGGTTTTAGCACAAAAGAGATCTATGTCTCTGAAGTTCTTAATTTATAGTTCTCAAACTCCCTTTGTATAATTTTTGCTTCATCCCAACTCAGTACACCCCAGACTCCTAGCATATTATCAGGGTTGTGCAGTAGATTTTCTCAGTATAATGCAAGTCTTCGAAATGCCGTCCTTAAATGCTACTTGTGCCGGCTCTTATTTAAGAGGCAGCACAAGTAGCATTTAAGAGGTAAGAGGGTGGCATAAGCAGCATTTGCTACTTACACCACCCTGTTACGGTGCCACCTGATGCAGCCGCCTCTCTGTATCATAGCACGGCACAGCCCTGCATATTATGCTGGTGCTGTAACAAATCTATTTTTAGCGATGTCATATCTGTGTTCCTTCAGATGTTCAGTAAATGATGTATTTTTCATCCAATATATGTTAGCTTCTTGTTAAATCTGTTGTCCATAACTGGAATCAAGTATTTATCCTGGGACTCTGCCACTATCAGTTTTGTCTTTATCATTTGTTAACAACTTAAATATAGTAGGATTGCATTTATATGTGATGTGTGTGTTAATGTATTTAGTGATCCTTTTATATGTACAGAGTAGTTTGGGGTCATGTTCTATTACAGTGCACTTATGACTGTGTATTTGATAGAATTCTCTTTTAAACCATCCATTTCAAACGTGTAGAATCTGAAATAGGCTCATAAACTAGGCCAAAACATTTGTTTTTAATAAAGTATTGCTGGAAGACATGAGATTGATTATTATCAGGATAAATTCCAGCTTTGAATGACACTTTGTATTTCATATTGAAGTTATAATTCGTTTATTAATTTTTCTTACTTTTGACTTTAGTAAATATTTGTATTTTATTATAGTTTTGATGGAGATGTACATTCTAGTTCAACAAGATCTTTAGAATCAAAATCTTTAAATATTGGACCATCTTATATGTTACAATTTGACATAGTAGTAGGCTGTGGACAACCTTATAGTAAAGATAAAAAGAATAAGGTACAGTGATTATTAAATAGTCAGTATTAATATTTTAATTGATTATGGTTATTTAAAGTATATTAATATTAAAGTATTTTTAATTTTATTTATTTAATAACATCAGAATATTAAACATTTTTGGACTAATCCGTTTTTACTTTTTTCTTCATAAATTTTACCTTTATTTTATATTTGTTCTTTTCATTACACAAAATGTACCATGAATAATCTCCATAGGGGAGCAATGCAGAAAAGTGTGTGCCATATGTGAGCAGGGACTTCGGTTTGTTGCATGAATAGAGAAAATATATAGGTTATTTGTTAATTGAAGACTACACAGATCAGATGGAACATCTCTAAGAATTGGTTCATTTGGTAGCTCTGATGTAAGCAAACTGTTGATTTTAGAAATACATACAAATATCTACTACTGTTGTAACATTGAGTTAAGGAATGACAGAATTTAATTCTGTAAAATACTGGTTGGACAACATTGACTTTAAGAACTTGTAACTTATGTTCAAATAGAATCATAAATATGTTGAGTCTTAAACCAATCAGTGCATTCATACTAATGACATGGAATGTCATTAGTATGAATGCATATTAATGACATGGAATGTCATTAATATGAATGTGGATACTTCCAGTTTGCAAGTGACTAATTAAGCATCTATTTAAAATTTATTCCTCTGCATGACTGTGTTGCACTAAAACCTGTCCAAAAATTGTGCATGCTATTCTGATGTCATAATCAGGTGCTCTTGAAAAGCTTATGTGAAAAAGCAATGTAGTGATGTGTATGATGTAGACAAAATGGCGAATTTCATCAACTGTACAAATTTTATATTCTCAAATGAAAAAATATCAATTTAAATTTATTTTTAAAATCTATTATAAAATAACTTATTAATAAATATTCAAAATTTTAAGAACTTTATAATAGCTCTTAATAAATATTCAAAATTTTAAGAACTTTATAATAGCTCTTAATAAATATTCTAAAAATTAAAATAAAAATAAAAAAGGTTTATAGAGAGCAATTTTTCAATCGTTATCAGTGGTCATTTGACTATTGAATAGACAAAAATCACTTTAGAATTGATTGCTGTTAATTATGTACATAAATTATGTCTATTCAACTAGTGAACTGTCATTACAAATTAAAAAGAAAATGTCCAGTAAAAAGATATTGCTTTTTGATAATAGAATATAAAACATAAACCTCAAATAATTAATTTAAAAATTGTAATAATGAGTTTGTCATGAAAACTATTAGTTCTCTCATATTGTGGTGCATCTTGTCTTAAATTTTAATTATTTGTTTTTTTGGTCTAGTCTCTTAAGAGATATATAAATGGTGCTTGACTGTATATACTAGAAATGAAAATATTTTATTAGCTATATAGTTAAATCAATCACATATTTAAATAATCTTTTAAAAGTTCAAATTTATTTTGATTTTTTACTCCTGTTTTCAGTATTTATTTTATCTTCAGAATACTTAATGACAGAAGAGAATAAAAGATTATAGTAGAGTATTTAAAATATTAAAAATGATTATTGTTTAAAAATAGATGAATTAATTCTAAAAACATTTAAGAATAAAAATTATTTTTACTTCTTAAAAAGTTTATTACTTAATTGAATTACAAATAATTCATTTATTATATTTTATAAGCATGTATTTTTAAACTTATATTAATTATTGCTTTGTTGATTAGTATAGTATTTTTAATGAATAAAACTACTCAAATTGTTTCAATCATGCTTGATGATTGAATATTTTAAGTTAATAAGTTCTTATATGTAGAAGAAATTTAATTTTTAAATTTCATAACTTAAACGTTATGTAAAAATTGAAAACATTTTTGAAGAATAAAAATTTAAATTTGTTTAAAATATTGTATTTATTAAGACATAAAAACGTTATCAAATGATCACCTAAATAATTGTGCTATAACTCCACTAATTCGATAATTAATATTAAGTAATTTGCTACTAGATGTGGACGTTAGGCACCATCTCTTAACTAAATTAATAATTATAATTTATTAAATAATTTAGAACCATTTGGAAGAAAAGAACTGACCCAGGGTGGGGCATGAATACACAAACTCTCCTTGTTGTGTGGTATGCTTGTCAGTTGTACCACCCAGACCTCAAGCAAGCCTTTGCTTCCAGATGTATTTAAATTTAGATATAACCTTACAGGTCCAGGTGGCACAACTTACAAGCNTCTTCCAGATGGTTCTAAATTATTTAATAAATTATTAAAAATTATAATTATTAATTTAGTTAAGAGATGGTACCTAATGTCCACATCTAGTAGCAAATTACTTAATATTAATTATTAAATTAGCAGGGTTATAGCCTGATTATTTAGGCAATCGTTTGGTAATGTTTCTATATTCATATTGGGCTTTGCAATGTTTGTTATATTCATTAAGATAGTTAACAAAAACTAAACATCTAGAAATATGAAAATAGTATAGTATAAATTATTGTTAAATGCATGTATATTTTAAATTAATCAAAATATTTTAAAAATAATTTAGGTTCATTTAGAATATTCAACTAATCATGGAATGAATTGGCAATTAGTTCATAAACCTTGTCTTCCATCTATTGGTGGTTGTAATGGTGTTTTTACAAAAGGAACTGTTTATGATCCATCTGAGCATAGAAAATGGAAAAGAGTTACAATAAATCTTCCATCTACCACATGGTATGAATTACTTTTATATTTACAAATATATTTTAGTTATTCTAGACAATAACAACTTTTAGATTCTTACCAGGTTATATTCAGACAAGAACAAACAGAATTGATGATTAGAAGAAGCCTTCTAACTAATGGTAGGCAAAATTATCATAATTGTCTCATCATTAAATTCTGTTTAGTCTCAATATAACCAGAATTAGTAAATAGAAAAACTTCTCTGCAAACTGGACTGTTCTGTAATACAAAATACACAACAAAAACCTAAGTCCTTCCATTAACAACATTTGAATGAAATATGAACATTGTTACTTTAAAGACAGGTTGTTTTGTTCTGTATTTTGTGTTACAGAATTAATAATTCACATTTTTACAAATTAATTATACACATATGAAACCCTTTATTCCATACATGTTGACTATACTGTATATAAAAAGATATTCAATTTCTTTCCTGTATATTAAGGTCAAGTTCTACCAGATTTCGGTTTTTTCAAACAAATTTTGAAGAAGGTGATACTTGGGCAATAGATAATTTATATATTGGATTGCAGTGTCCTGATTTATGCAGTGGTCATGGCAGATGTATAGAAGGAACATGTCTGTAAGTCATCCTGAATATATTTTTATTTTCTTTTGTTATTTTATAATTAATTTCATCATAAAAATAAATCCTAATAATAAATGTTAAAGAAATGCAAATTCAGAAATTGGTGTTTATCTAGACCAGCGTTTCTCAAAGTGGGCAATAACGCCCCCTTGTGGGCAATGAGTAAATTTACGGGGGCACTGGAGGCAGGGTATTGAACGGTGACCAAAGGAAAAATTGGGGTCACTGAAAGACGTTTCCTTTCTTCTGTTAAACTGATATGAGGAAACATCGCATTTAATGGTTTCCAGATGTTGAGAACAATGTATGGTAAGGGCACAAAGTGTGAGATTCATAGAAAAGTTTTCTTAAGAATATTTCCAATCCTTTCTCACACAGGAGAAAATGGGTTTGGTACATTGGGTATAACTTTATGGAAGAAAGGGGGCGGTGGATTGAAGTTTAGGAATCACTGATCTAGACATTAAATTGACAATATTGAATCCAGTAATGATCATTGAAATATTCATTTAATTTTGGAAAGATTTAATTGATAACCCTGTTTGTAATTATTGAAAATGAGAAAAATATTTAAATTATAAAAGTGAAACAAATTATACAGAAACAGTTTTCATTTCAAGGGAAAAAAACTAGATTTT